GGGTGTGGGGTGTGGGGTGTGGGTGTGGGTATGGGTGTGGGATGTGGAGTGTGGGGTGTGGGTGTGGGTGTGGCAGCAATGTCACATATCCGAAATTTTGGAGGTGCCGCGGCATCTCCCGCGGGAGACGCTGGATCTCTTGCGGGAGATGGGGCATCTTATGCGGGGGATGGGCATCTCTCAGCATGTGGGTACATCTCCATCGGGAGACGACCTCATCTCTCGAAGGAGATACGGCATCTCCCGCGATAGATGCGGCGTCTCCAGCGGGACATGCCGCGGCATCTCCAAAATATCGGATATGTGACACTAGTCCCACACCCACACACCACCCACACCCTAGGCAGGATATACTCGACGATCTGACAGTTGGGGATCAGTTGCACTATAGGAAACTACTGGAATACCGATTCTGTTGGCCAAATCAGCGATAATGAATGTTTCTCTTGATCGAGCCGGGCCGACAATACCAACAATATTCGAAGTGGATATGGCTTGGCAAGTACTTCTCAGAGCATCTATCATATTTCCACCTGTTTGCTGAACTTTCCATTCGATCGATTGTCCTTCAACTGTCATATTTTACTGCTGAGAAAGAAGTAGGGCTGCTTTGAACATGTATTTGCAATGTCGTCAAAAAGGCCCAATATTTGAATGTTTGAAAAGTTTGCGGCCGGCCAAGCTGCACGTACATATCTTGTATTCCAATATTCGAATATCAAGAGCAAAAGCCAGCATGAAATACATTTAATGAACAACATCAATGCTTGACTAGAATGCAAACACACTATCTACACTGCAAGTACAGACAGAAGTAGTATTCTAAGCTTGAATTGCAGTCTAAAACAATATATATATAACAGATTCTTGAAAAGAAAAGTCATATAATACTTCTCGAATTAGCGATGAAAATTCAAAATGGCAATAAAATGCTTTTTTATTATCTACTTCGTAATCTAATAACTACATGTTGTGATCCTCTCATGAGTCGATCCATTCTTTTAATAAATCTGTGAAGACTTTGGATAAGTATATCAATATCCCATAGTTCTCGGGAAATAGCACAAAACTTTAATTGAAATGTAAATAAATATAAATGCTTCACCTCTGTAATATTGACTTTTTTGTTCTATTCAGCATCGCACACAAACTTCAGTAGATGAGAGAACTTAAACTCACATCATCATCTAGCCACTCGTCTCAAGTATATTTACCTTTAATTGCCAGTTTTCAATTTTGTTCTTCATGAACTATGAATACAGAACTAAACGTACTCTACCGTAAAGAAAGACTAATGGTGCCATTCTTATCTTACAACTCCCACTGAGTACCTGAATATATTACTACTCTGCATCACTGCTTGAATATGTAAATACTCCTGATGGATATGGAAATTACAGAATAAATAATTGTTCTCGATGAATATTTGATTTTTCAATTCAAACAGATCTATGGTTGAGATTCAGTAATAATTTTGAGATCTGCCTTAGATCGTATTAGATAATTTATCGAATCTCAAGTACATACCGGCAAAGACTTGCTTTTTGATAATTTATTCTGAATCCCATAATTATTCCATAGAAACTATGTGGCCATTGATAGAGTTCCCATAGATATGTCACATTGCCACGAGGTTTCTCTGAGAGCTATTCTAATCACCACATAAAAAATCTCAGTGGATTGTAATCAAACTCTATTACAGGCTCTGATAGTACTTTTACCCGTAATGTGACGTAGCCGTGTCTGTCGAATAAAGTGCACGATGCTTACAGTGTAGTAATTGTTACAATGATTTTTCAACGAAGTAACCGGCAATTTCACTGAATATAGATGACTAATCGCATCTAGTTTGTTTTCATTATCGACGACTGAAAAAATAGTGGGAAAAAATGAGTCAACAATAATCATCAGTAGAAAAAATCCGCTGATATGGTACTCATTCAGTAGTACATTATTAATAAGGACGACTATGCAAATACTGCAGAATATTAGTTTATACTTGCGTGCAGAATTTCGTAGGATATTGGTTCTGATGTTCGCATTGCAGCCATTGCAGGGAATGAAAATACTGGCAAATGATTTTATTGTACTTATCATTGTTCGCTCATTTTTTCACTGTTCTGTCACTTTTAGCACCCTATTACTGATTTTCAATGAGATTGAAGGTCGCCCGACTGAATAATCATCGGCACATCATGAATATATCGTCGATGCGCACTTCAATCAGTCAGAGACTTCGAAAAAATATGGATTGGTTTCAAAGATAATAATCCTTCAATTACAAGTTCAAGTATCGAAGTCACTTATGGTACATCATTCTCAATTTGAGACACCTTGGTCTTTTAATAGAATCTTGCTGTTACATTTCCCTCTCTCAATAGAGTTCGATATGTACCATGAAATGTGCACTTTTACGAGAAATGAGTTAATAATAAAAGGAGAAACTGAAATACGAGTATACAATTGACAGCCCTAACCATTCTTTGGATATATGTGATGTTATTGTTGGAAACATAGGTAAGTGCAGTATTTTTTGAAGCATAGATTGTGTAAGTGAGCAATAGTTAGATTACAAAGGATTTATGCTGGTTTTTTTCACATGAAAAGCAGAAATTTAAAAACTCAACTGAATTCAATCAGAGTTATATCTTCTCAAGGCTTCAAAGTAACAACCAAACGAAGAAAATCCAATGATATATGGCATACCGGTTTCGAAGAACATGCTTGTTTTTCTGGTAGAAGATTGGGTAATGTTGAATTGATACGGAAAAAAAACCAGCACGCTTATTAGAGAGCTGCTAATTGTTTTGTTAAGTATACTAGTAATCATGAAAAGGTGACGACATGATTGATTGAGCTTGGTTTGGAAAAATCAACGATGGTTGCTGCCAATTCCTTGCTACGCGACCAATCATCGGTTGTACTTTTCGAACGTTTTGTTGTCGCTGGAAATAGTCAATTGAGCATCATTAGTCCTGGCGAAAGATCTCTTTCCCAGTTTGCTCTATCTTGTATACATTTTTCATTTAGAGAAAAAAAGATCGCATTTCTCGATTTTCGATATTTGACTATTGAGTACGTCGATCGTTTTGTTTTACGGCTTATGCTCAGTGCGAGGTAACATGAATTTATGAACACCTTCTACGAGTCTATTCATTACAGATCAATCCGTTGTAGATGTAGACCCTTCAATAAAGCAGATCGTTTCGTATAGTTTTCGCAAAAAACAAACGTGTCTGTTGAAAAACTATCAACGTTCAAAGCGTGCTCGATAGTATAGATACATTATTAGAGGGGACGACGTTCAATCGTTCACGTGCTACACTTCTACTAGTCTTGGCCCTATGCAAACATTTTTTCTCATTAGGTTCAATAGACAGGTGGCATGCTCATGGGTTTCATGGCAAACCTTTACATCGACAAGATCAAAGTGCCTCAAAGCAAGTATTTGCAAATGATGGAAAACATCACCGCACATCGATCAAGAAATATACTATGGTCGAATTATTCAGATATATTTTACGATCTAAGATCATTTTTGAAGATTGAGGTCTTTTTCCGAAACAACCACAATGCAACCCAGGTATATTATTTTCCCTGTAAAACCGTATCAGATACTTGAGAGTTCTTTTATCAATTATTCATACAATGTATGTGAGGGCTAAATATTGTCGGTGTCAGAATCAAAGAGGGATGCGCATAATACGATTAATTTCAGAATGCAAGAAACCCTAAATATGCGATTTTCAACAATCGCTATAGAATCTTAAAGGACATAAGCGTATATATAGAGAATGTGTGAGTGTGTTGAGGCATGAGAGTAGGCGTCTACGTGAGTTTAGATTTGTAGGTGACTATCAACTTGTGTCTTCTCTTAACCTGCTCTCAAATTCACATACCTACATCCATATGCTTAAACTAGCCTATGATACGTTTTCAATCAGTAGGAAGCAGTACTGGGAATAAGAAAGTTAAATAATTTGAAACTTTCATTTTCCTGTCAATTGAATCAAAGAAGCGTTTGGAATAAAGTCCAGTCAAACTCGAAAATTTATAAAATGCATGCACATACATAAATCGTTATGATCTGGCATGTATGGAAACGCGTCACAGAATAAACTATATTCGCGTTTACATATATGAAATTTTGCGAATTTACACACTTAATATTTTCAATGCATGCGAGATCATATGAATGCTTTTGTAAAGAACTCAAGCGTGTACATGAAAGGAATTTTAAGAATCGTCAAAAAACGAAATTCATGTTGTAAGCATTCATGAACACGTATGACTTTTTTCGGAGTAACATTCGATCATATAGGGGTTGCTTTATGAGGCAAACTTCTTCATCATTCGACCATCTACTTACATTTTAAGTGCAATCAAAACTGAAGAATACAATGGCCATCAGGTAATTGCTACGCAAGTGTAAGCAGAAATACTAATAACTTTCGGCGCATTCAAAAAATTTAACAAGGCTTTTAAGCCAATATAGTGAGAATATATAGGACTTATTTCATTTTAATCAGAAATAAAGATATAGATTTCGGAGAAAAAAACTATTCGTGCATACAACGGCATGCACACTGCAAAATAGTAGAAATTTGCATACTCTCGCAGAATCGCTTTAGTTATAGTGCACGTAACTACAACATTTGTCGTATTGACGTGCAGAATTTAGCAAAATTTTAATCATCTTGCTGGTACACGTTAATAACACTTTGGCATTTACTTGCAAGTCATATATCTTACATTTAAGCACTCAAGAATGTTACATGCAATTATTTTCAAGGATAAAAGTTATGTACAGTCTCGCATGTTTTGCTTAAAAGCTTAAAAAGTTGCATTACCATGCATGGGCTATTGTGACTCTGGATATGAATGTTCGTGTGTGTCAAAAAAACGATCTCATCCAAACCCATTGTGTATTGAAATGAACAATAAAGACAAAAACATAGTCTATGTCTCGTATCATCACTAAGTTAGAACCTTTTCCGGCAAAAAGTATCCGAATATTTTTTTTCTGACAGTGCGCATATAATAGTCTAGAATAAACGTTTGCTCATGTAACTCGACGAGTAACATCGAATCATGTCAAAAAAATTTGAAAACGAAACTCCTGCTCGGTCTTCGAAGTGCCACCACCTTATATCTCAGAATAGGAGACACTAAAATACGTGATTCTTTCACAATCAACTACTTAGTCTCATTGAGAAGTTTTTTTGCACAGAGTTTGAAATCAGAACTCAAAATTTAATTGTCATGATGCTCTAAGGCATGCCACTGCTTTGTGTTGAAAAGTTCAGCGAACAATCGATTTTTCGAGAACAAAGGCTCACGAGAGAAGTGCCCAAGTGATTGATGGCTGTTCCTCGCAAAATGCATGACTGTCTGAAATTCACTGTGATAATTTCGAATATTATGATCGTAGCTGCTCATATGCCTTTCTAGATTTTATATCACAACTATCAATCCTATTCTAATAGAAATATTTTTTGTCAAATTAGATATTTAATTCTTTTGCTGTGCGTCACCGGATGAAATGTTATCAAAGATACTTATTTGCAGACATTTTAACCTTCAATGTCGAATACTAAACTGCACTGTATAGCAGAGAAAGACTAAGTATACAAATGTGCTATTTTAGGCTTAATTTTTTCACATATTCAGGGTATAAATTTTATGTATTATCACATAATCTCACTCAATTTATAGTTTAAATCTATCCAGAATTTATCAATTTATTACAGCTTAGGAAATTAATATATCTGTGCCCATGTAACGCTTTATTCAAGTTGATATTGCCTATAGCTCCAGTATCCTAATTGTGCATATCAACTTTCTTTTTATCACGAAGTATTGAAGCAGAGATAATGCAGGTTATTCACTAGTTATCTATCAGTCAATTATCACTGCTCATTATTTAAATTAATAATATAAAACATTTTAATACATCTGGGGTTTCGATGAAGAACATTCACTACGCTCTCTTTTGATTTGTAGCGCATATGTGATATTTTGGCATCAACACTCGGTAATTTCTTTTTCTGCTTCGATAACTAACACGGTGCGAGCAAGAAAAACTGATTTTTTTCCTACTCTAAATTGCATACGAGTTTTAGACAGACGTGAAAATAAGTCATCTTTCGTTAAGATAAATATAAAATGAATGCGAAGCATCCTTCCAGTTCGTATTCAGTACTAATAGTTATTATTAATTTGTGAAGTAATAAAGAAACGAGAATAAATGTTATTTGACTGCTTATAGTCAATGTACAAATTACTTCGCTGCTTTATTGCTTAGTATCTAACGTTAAAGATTAAAATGTCTGTAAAAAAAAAGTTTTTTTTGTGATATTTCATTGGGTGACACATAGTAAAAAGAATTAGATATCGAATTTGATTAAAAAAAACACCTCTAATAGAGGAGAACTGGTATTTATGATATAAAAACTCAGAAAACCGTATGACCACTATGATTATGATATTCGGCGTCAGTGCCGTGAGCTGCAATCAGTCATATAGTTTTCGAAGAAAAAGCGACTCATCACTTGAGGGAGTTTATCCTCAGACAATAAAACGATTTTAAAACTTGTCATTGTTCACTATGCCTGATTGAATGAACAAAGTCTCGATCGAACAGTGATTTAACACCTCAACACATTCTCTGCTGAATATGTGTTCCTAAAAAATATTGATCCAATTTTATTTAAAACACTTAATTGCCATTTGACATTCGTTGTTGAAATAAGTTTTCTGATTCTTGAAAACAATATTTTAATTGGTTTATTTATAAATGAGAATAACGTTTCTCAGTAACTATATACATTGCATCTTTTTAATAATCTATATAGAAAAATTTGAAAAAAATAAGATGGAAATCTAACATTTAATGTTTGATTTATTCCAACATATAAAGCATCATAATTATAATGGATTCTACTTATGTATCTTCTACAATATAATTTGTTTTGTAATTATTACCATCAGTCCAAGATGAAACAGTGAATGTTCTTACCAAACCTATTCTTCAAAGCCAAATTTTCATTTAAAGAAAGAAAATAATTTTTTTTCTTATGTAAACTAATCAATTATTAATTGAGCGTTAGCGTTTGAGAGGATTTACATTAAATTATTAGTAAAATAGTTTTATTAATGTTGAATGCATCGAAAACACTCGTAAATATCACATAAATATTAAGAACAATAATCAAATGAAGATTATTCGAGAATAAGTAGAGTAACTTATTCATCCCGAAACAAACAATTAACATATTCAACAGTTTTTAAAATACTTCGATTATACGCTGCGACTCATTTTGCCATCAAGATTTTCCTTACAAGACAATAGAGACTAACGTTTGAACACTTATTATGAACGAAAATTTGAGAAAATAAATAATCAGAAAAATGGCATAAGATGAAGTTGAAATAAATATAAAACTATTTAGTGCTTTCCTATTATTACAACTTCTTTTTTCTATTGCATTTCTTTCAATCTGTCCTATTCGACAGCAATATTTTATAATAAGAGGAATTAATAATTGACTTCGATACTTTAGTATTTTTCAAATAATTGATGATTCAATTAATACTTAATCATTTAGATTGATGAAACATTATTATCTCATTTGTTTCAACATTACTCAAGTAATTTAGTGATTTTTATTTCAATGAAAAGGCCTGATTAAAAACAAGACATAAGTAATCTAGAAAATGAACTTTGATGTTGACAAACAATTCAAAAATTAATTAATTAAATTTATTTTAAACATTTTCTCAATTATTTTCGATGTGAAATGCAATTCCAATAAAACAATCAATTGGCACAAAGCAGCCACATCTTTTCTGCTCAAGATAGAATAATGCTCCTTGCTTTTAAGTATGTCTGAATGTATTACACATGCAGATTCTCTTTTTGTTCTGCTTGCTACCGTCCTTGTTATTTAAAATATAGGTTTCCATTAAGAATTGAATCATTTTAAACGTAAGACTGGAACAAAGTCGAAAAATTTCACAAGCTACAAGAAATTTAGAGTGGCAAAATCCCAACTTCGACACCCTGAAGCCTTCCATTTCTCGATTCATTTTTTCTCAATACGTAGCTTCTCTGCATTGTCTGATATATTGAAGCAATTATTTCCTATTGTGGTCTGATCTTCACTACGAAACCTTGTATCAAATGAAAAAATGAAGTTGGTTGAAGAGTTAATTCCGAATGAATTCGGTTCCGAGAGGTTATTTAGATTTAATCCAACAATCTTGCATTTGCATGATCTTAACTTATTCAATGGCAGATACTATAATTATATCCAAGGACAATAGGTGATTGTGAGAGATGTTGATGGCATCTTTGCTCCTCTCTCTAGAAACTTACTGAAGTTTTAGAGTTTCATTTCAAGTAACAGATGTAAGAACTTTCTTTTACAAAACAAACAGGAAGAACTCTCCTGCTGTTAGAAGTGGACTGTATCCATGCACTTAGACTACAATGCAGAGACTGAAGTCGATTTTAATTCACAAATAAAAACTTGAAGTGAACACGGATACGGAATTAATTATAAAATAATACAGTATTATTGTTATAATAAATAACAGACCTATTTTTTTCTCGATCAATAATTCGTGATGATTGTTCCAAAAAAGCTATCATAGTATTCATTTTTAGTTAGTGCTTGCTTATATGCTATCAACATTAAACAGTAGACAGTTAATGACATGTGCATAAAGGGAACGACTTAAACATTAGAGAAAAAAAGCTTCTTGAATATTGAAGCACATCACATTCGCTTGAATAAGAAATACTAACGCTTGAATAAAATTGAAGTGCATAGGTGAGAATATTTAGTGATGAAACAAGATGTTTAACTGCTTGAGATCACCAGAAAATCACAAGTCTTGCATCAAGATATGTCCGTATTACATGACTTTCTAGTCCAAGATACTCAAGTTCTTCATGTACATGAGAAAGAAAGCTTGATTCAAGATGTCTCCTGAGCACATGTCAAATAATTTTGTGGATGTATGAGAGTAAAAGATGGAAAACGATTCTATTGGTTCAAAAGAACTACAATAAACTATATACAAGTTTGTATGTAGTCCGTTAATGTAACCAATACGGAAGCAGTTCTAGAAGTCTCATTGGTATGTATTTATATCTGTACGATTGTCAATTACTCTGGAGAAAATAATAAAAATGATCATCCCATTGTTTGATAAAAAATCTTTGTAATCTATCCATGAAAATTTAGTCGATTAGGACTATTTAGATAGTATGTAAATACACATAAAGAGAAAAAGGCTTGAAAAACAATTGTTGCCCCACACTTTATCTTTGACATAACAATGAAGTTTTGATCATTATACAGGGAAATATCTAAAATAACTAAAAAATTAATTACTAGATTTTCAAACAGTTTCATCTTGAAATATTCTTTGAATAATAAATATAATCTTTAAATTTCAGATGTGCCGGTAAATAATGGTATTTCAACTAAATGGTGGTAATCGGAGATATTTAATCATGGCAACATCTTTAGTAATCAGCTGTTCTCTCGTATGGTTAATGCTAAGCCGGGTATGTACTTTGTTTCTTTTCTTATTGTTAATTTTAATTTCTCTATATTTCTAAATATAAATATTATAACTAAACGAATTAAACTGAGACCACTCGTACGAGTGAGATTTTCTAGATAGAATAAAAACAAATAAGAATGAAATTAAATATAGACGGTTTACTTGTTTATATGCCATATGATTTTATTTATCCTGAACAATATAAATATATGCATGCACTTAAACGTGGTCTTGATCATAAAGGTCATTGTGTACTTGAAATGCCATCAGGAACTGGAAAAACTATTACATTATTATCACTTATTATTGCTTATATGAAACGTTATCCTGATCAATATAATAAATTAGTTTATTGCAGTCGTACAGTACCAGAAATAGAAAAAGTTATGTCAGAAATGAAACGTCTAATTTCATATTATGAAAAAGAATTAAATGAAAAACAAAAATTTATTGGTATTGCAATGAGTTCAAGAAAAAATTTATGTATTCATCCTGAAGTTAGTCAATTACGTTTAGGTAAAGAAGTTGATAGTGCATGTATGAATTTAACAGCATCATATATACGTGAACAATCTAAACAAGATCGTTCAATAAAGACATGTTCTTATTATGAACAATATGATAAAAATGGACGAGAAGAAAGTATTCCATATGGTGTTTATAATTTAGAAGATATGAAATTATATGGTAAAGCAAAACATTGGTGTCCTTATTTTCTTGCACGTTATATATTAACACATGCAAATGCTATTGTTTATTCTTATCATTATTTATTAGATCCAAAAATTGCTGAAATTATTTCAAAAGAATTACCAAAAACATCAATAATAGTTTTTGATGAAGCACATAATATTGATAATGTTTGTATTGATTCAATGTCAATAACATTAACACGTAAAATACTTGAACGTGCACAAGCAAATGTTGAAAATTTAAAAATACTTGTACAAAATCAAAAACAAAAAGATGCAAGTCGTTTAAAAAATGAATATGAAAATCTTGTTAAAGGTCTTCGTGAACAAGCTATACAACGTGAAACAGATGTTATTTTAACAAATCCAATATTACCTGAACATGTTTTACAAGAAAATATTCCAGGAAATATTCGACAAGCAGAACATTTTCTTATATTTATTAAACGATTTTTAGAATATATGAAAACAAGAATGAATATTCAACATGTTGTTAAAGAATCACCACCGTCATTTTTAAAAGATTTACAAGTACGTGTTTGTATTGAAAGAAAACCATTAAGATTTTGTTCAGAACGTTTACGTTCTCTATTACGTACACTTGAAACACGTGATATACATATGTATCAACCTTTAATGTTACTTTGTAATTTTGCAACAATTATTAGTACATATACAAAAGGTTTTACATTAATTATTGAACCTTTTTTTGATAGTAAATCAACAGTTTATAATCCTGTTTTACATTTTACTTGTCTTGATTCATCTATTGCTATTAAACCAGTTTTTGATCGATTTCAATCGGTTATTATTACATCAGGTAAAATATGAAATTTTAATAATGAAAACGTTTTAAAGTCTATCCAAATATGACGATGAAATGAGGAGAACAATTTTGTATATCAAACAGATTCAAATCTTAGTTGCTTTTTTTTTATAGATATTTCTATATGTGACAGTTTATGATGAGAGATAATTAGGAAGCCTGTTATTTGTTCTTTCTTCACACGCACACACACCATGACTTAATATAATTAAGATTTTTATTCAATCAAGGCATATAGTAGCTTACTGATTAGACATTCTCGTGTAGAATAAAAGTCATTTCACTTTGTATAACATTTGGTATTAGTCCCTCTAACATCATTTACAGTTTTTATGGATTATCTAATGATATCAATCATAAGATTTCCTGACACGAAGTAAAACAACAAGTGCATCTCTTCATTATTTACTTTTGTATTGGTCCAAGAAAGATTTATTAATATGTTTACGATACACGATTGACATAGCTACTAAAAGAGGAGATGAACCATATGTAGTGTGACAAGAAAATCAAAATTTGTTTATGCAAAATATTAGCGTTAAACAAAAACAGAAATAGAAGTAGAACTTCCTTTCCTTTTAAAATAACAAATTAATTGATAATCAATTTCGATAAACAAGAAAATATTCACTAAAGCATCAATTTATGAAAAATAACATTTTACTTCGAAGTATAATGAATAAACTCCAAAAAGATTACGTATTACGAAATTTTCCTTTTTTTCACAGCTATTAAAGTTTATACTCTCGACAAAGAATTCAATCTTAAACACTTCAGCAAAATCTACGTATGTGAGAGATTTAAATACACTCGTTTTTTTTTTCAAAATAAGTTTTTTTTCATAATAATTTTAAATATAAATATTATAGATCTCTTCTTTTCTATCTTTATTTTATCCAGTCTTAATTTGGAAGTTTTAATATATTGATGCCATCTTCTTTTGTGCAAGTTTAAATACTAGGTCAAATTCTAAACCAAAAATTATCTTTTGACAAAATTCTATTGAAATGTATTAAGTCTCTTTATCTTGTCTTTTCTATGATCCCGAGATTTATTTATATCGAACTAAATAAAAATAATGACAATACTAGTTGATGAAATCCAATCAATTTTGAATTGTATCTGTTTTTTAGGAACGCTTTCACCTATTGATATGTATCCAAAAATTCTTTCATTTACGCCAGCAGTTATGGAAACATTTACTATGACATTAACACGTCCATGTATTCTTCCGATGATAGTTACACGTGGCAATGATCAAATAGCAATAACATCAAAATTTGAATTACGTGAAGACCAATCTGTTATTCGTAATTATGGTATATTACTTATTGAAATGTGTACTCATGTACCTGATGGCATTGTTTGTTTTTTTACATCATATATTTATATGGAACATGTTGTTGCAACTTGGCATGATTTAGGTATAATAGGACAAATTCAAAAATATAAATTATTATTTATCGAAACACCCGATAGTGTTGAAACATCATTAGCATTATATAATTATCAAAAAGCTTGTGATAATGGTCGTGGTGCAGTTTTATTATCAGTTGCACGTGGTAAAGTTAGTGAAGGTGTTGATTTTGATAATCATCTTGGTCGATGTGTTATTATGTTTGGTATTCCTTATGTTTATACACAATCACGCATATTACAAGCACGTCTTGATTATTTAAGAGAAAATTTTCATATTCGTGAAAACGATTTTTTAACATTTGATGCAATGCGTCATGCAGCACAATGTGTTGGTCGTGTTTTACGTGGTAAAAGTGATTATGGTATTATGATATTTGCAGATAAACGATTTGTACGTTCGGATAAACGGCAAAAGATTCCAAAATGGATACAAGAATATTTAAGTGATAGTTTAGCTAATTTATCTATTGAAGAATGTGTACAAATAGTTAAAAAATGGCTTAAAGATATGGCACAACCATTAAGACAAGAAGATCAATTAGGAATATCATTGTTAACAGAAGAACATCTTCTATCAAATGAAGTTTTAAAAAATCTTGAACAAAGTTCTTCTAATGTTTAAATTCTTTTTATATAAATAAACTAGAAAGTTGTTTCTTTTCCTTTAAATTTACTGTCTTGTTTCTTGTTTAATTTCTCTATGTATTTTTGTTCCTATTAGGTGAATTCTACAACATCTACAACAACCAAAATTCCAGATACTATTCGAAATAGTGGTGATGCCGGTGTCTATGTATCCGAGAAACTTGCAAATGAAAATCCTGATTTACATTACGGTATTGTTATTGATTGTGGAAGTAGTGGATCAAGACTTTATATTTATATTTGGCCCGAACATTCCGGAAAACCAAACGAATTATTACAAATTAAACAATTACTTGATAGTAAAGGCATACCGGTAGTTAAAAAAATTGAACCAGGTTATTAATATTTTTCTTTCAAATATATGTAATCATTTTCCTTTCTTTTTCATTAGGTCTTTCGTCTATGGCAAAAACACCGATGAATGCAACTGAATATTTAAAATCATTGTTAGGTAGAAGAATATTTCAGATTTCTCTCATGTTTATTGACAGAAGATTTTGTTGAAAGAGAATTTTTGGAACTGAGCACATACACTAAACAGTAACAGTTAAAACGATGGCCAAAGTCTGCATTGAAATTTATTAGAAATGAAATCGGCTCAAGTTTTTTCAAAATTTAAACCGAATCGAACCAATCCCATCTCTACAATATATAAGGATATTTTGTCACTGTGATGGAATAAATATTAGTGCTACAGTCGAGCAATAGATGATAACGAAACCCTGGAAGATACTACGATCAAATAAATAGATAAAAACAAATTCTATTTGAGTTACTCAATTTTTTACTAATAATAAATAGTGTATGTCACATTTTAAAAGTGTAGAAGCGTTTTGAATTGTTGAAAATTCAAAATTGTAACTTAATGAAAATATGTACTAGTAATTGCTTTTCTTGGTTCAAATTAAGTTATTGATCATGATGTACTCCTTTTTAAGATTTTGCTGCAAACACAATTCCATCCGTTAAACATATTGATACACCTTGTAAGTTTATACAAATGCTATTGTTTTTGTTCTAATACTTTTTTAAAAGTATATATTCTTGCAACGGCTGGTCTTCGTTTTTTAACACCGAAGTACGAATAATTTTTATAAACAAGTTTGATTTTTTTAATCTTTGTATTCTAGTCAGCAAAAACAATTACTTGAAGATTTATTTAATGATATTGAACGTGATTATAAATTTTTAATTGAAAAAACACATATTCAAGTTATATCTGGTCAACTCGAAGGTATTTATAGTTGGATAGCTATTAATTATGTACTTGGCCGTTTTCAAAATACTAATACTGAATCAAGTAAACTCAATATAATAGAATATGAAAATAAAGTTTTAACTTTGTCAATTTCATATTTAGAATCGGTAACTAATGATAATTCGAACTTGAATTCTAAAAGACGACCAACCACTGTCGGTGTTCTTGATATGGGTGGCGCTTCAGCACAAATAGCTTGTGAGTTTGATGTTTTAATTGATTATTATAAAAAGAAATATGGTTGATTTCTTTGTTCTTTCTAGTCGAAGTTTCAAAAACTGTAAATGTTATTTTATTTATTTTTTATTTCGACTTTATTATTTGCTGTTTTTTTTAAGACACCAATAGTAGGCAAAGAAGTAGCAGAATTTTCTTTAGGCTATGATGAACATCAGGAGGCATTGAAATATAAAATCTATGTTACAACATTTCTTGGTTATGGTGCAAATAAAGCATATGAGAAATATATTGATCGAATTATTTCAATTGGTCTTAAGTAAAATGAGTTTGATAATTAATTAAATCTATAGTTATAGAAATTTTTTTAGTTCGTCAACATCAGATTCTCCTTATATTCGAATCGATGATGCTGATTGTTTACCTCGTGGTTATTCAACAAATTATACAAGAAACAATAAAACAATAATAATGACAGGTGAAGGAGATTTTGCAAATTGTACAAAACATTTAGTTATGTTACTTAATTTAAATGCAACATGCCTAAACAAACCATGCTCATTAAATGGAATTTATCAACCACAAATAAATTATGACTCACAAGATTTTTATGGATTTTCAGAATTTTGGTATACAATGCAAGGTACGAAAAAAAAAATAAAGCATTGCGTATTTTGTTTTTAAGATTATTTCCATTTTATATTATAGATATTTTAAAACTTGGTGGTCCATATACACGATTAGCGTTTCTTAATGCATCAACAGTAAGTTGAATAGAAGAAGACTTTTGTTTTCAATAGCTGTATAATTTTCAGAAGTTTTGCAATGCAAATTGGAACGATATTCGACAATGGTACGACGAGAAATCGCATCCAAATATCAATTTAGATCGTTTAATGTAAGTTTTTTATTGATAATTTTAGTGAAATTTCTATAGTATTAAATGTAAAAATTGTTGTAAAGTTATTTTTATTGTTAACGAAAAGGTTCAGCTTGCATATTATTTAATCTTAATTGTAATCAGTTACGATATTTGTGACAATAGGCAACTAAAAGATTAGAGAACATCACAGGACGTGTCATATAGCTAATTTGTTTTGTCTTGCATTGGTTCTTGACATGCAGGATAACATTTGACTCTTGTAGGATACTCGAGTCACCTACTTGATCTTGATCCAATGAAGCTCTGATTGAGTGATAAAAATTGTCTTGATTTTTCATTAGTATCGGCAGTAGCCAGAAAAGTGCATGTCATACTAGTGCTAGTAGTTCGGTGGAAAGATTATTTAACTCAGCTGGATTGGAATTTATTCAAAGACGAACATGTTTATCATCAAATCAAATTAACAGACATATAGTTATTCGTTCGTAAGAGAAACCCAAAGAAAACCAATAAAATGAAAACCTATTCTTTTTTATTGTTCACAGGTTTATATTGATTATATTTTAAATGATACATTTTTATGTTTGCTTTATTATTGTTTTATTTACCTTATGTATGTCAAGTGTTTTTTTTTAATCTTCATTTCATTTCTTCTGAACAATATGTAATAAGGCCTATTAAGATAATTATATTGTAAATGATTTTTGTATAAACAGCATGTCTATGATATTTGACATCGTGCCTCATATACAGACAAGTTTTTATTCTTGTCAAAAATGCAAAGAAAATATCATCATGTAGGAGAGTCCTTTGTTATACTAGTAAGAACTTTTTGATACTTTGCTCTATGTTCTGTAAAGTAGGATGACTGTGTAATCATATTTTGCAGCATGCAAAGCAGAACGAAGAACACTGTTCTGTGACATTCTCTATAACAGACCTCTTATCTGTTACTCTATTCATCATTCACCATAAAGACAATTTTTTTGCCAGAATTAAACTCGCAGATGAAATGAGTATCGATCAACTTTATTTACTTCTTGGTTTTACATGATTTATTTTATTTTATTTTGTTGTCCCAGCATCTATAATATAGTCTATTATACAGAGTGTATGAGTAGAATTCGGATATCAGCATAATTTAACTGGAAGTTTGTTTGTTGTATGCAGAGTTATAATCAGCATTGGGCGGCTAGTCATTTGCTGTAAAAGGTTTCGTCCCTATAGAATTTTAACACAGATATGCCATGATAACAATTGAATTCTATAATTAGTTTACAATGTTTTAAATCTGCATGGCTATACGCGTTTCTTCATGATGGTTTGAAATTTCCAATGAATTATCAACGTTTACGTTCAGCTTCACTTGTTAATAACAATGATGTTCAATGGACACTCGGTGCTATACTTTATAGAACTCGATTTTTTCCATTGCAGTATGTTATTTAATTGTATGCAAATATATAATTTAATAATATTATATTTAGAGCAATTAGTCGAACGAAAAACACCATGTTTAATCATGAATCATATATAAATTCAAGAATATTTATTGTAATATGTATGACATTAACAATATTTTTACTCATATTTGCTGCACAGAAAATTCGGTCATTCATGTCTCGTCGTAAATATTATCATTCATCGTCTAATATATTTAATTATCGTTATCAGCTGTTAACGTTATCGGCTGTTGACGAATAACCATTAACGTAAAATAAATATTCGAATATTAAAACATTATAACCTTAATCAAACGAACGATTAATATAATAAATGGTTCAAAGGTCACTTTACCAAACAAAAAGTTGAATATCATTACTAATATTCCACTAAATGAGCGAATTCATTTATTGCTGATAAAGAAGTATAAATAGTTCATATTCATAAAATCAACATTAAAATCTTGTTTTGAAATGTGATCATATGACTTCAATATCGAATTATAATCGTTGACAAGTAATAAAATAAAGTGTTAATGTTTCGAATCAAAAGTAAAGGACATATCGATTTGTTTTTTTTTTGACTATTTCTTTACACTATTCTCATATTATTTCAAACTTATATTACATATTCATGTCTTCTGATTCCTTATTTCCAAAAACTTTCACTCGTAAACAACAAGGCATTATTGGGCAACTGTGCTTTGTTTTCTCTTGCTCGTCCATGAATAGTGTTCTTTATTAAGATCAATTTTAATACTTTATAGCAGTATTTATTTTTTAGACTTTTTTCTTTTGAATATGAACTATAAATCTTTTTATATCAATAGAAAAAGAAATGGGTTCCTCAGATCAAACTATAGCGAAGATATGTAATTTTTTTGTTTCTAGTAAAGTGACTTTTGGACCATTTTGTGGATAAATACATATTTTCTATGTTGTTATCTCAAGTTTTTAACTCTGTTGCTTATTTATTTTTATTGTTTTGTTGATATTTTTTCACTAAAAGAAGCTCAAATATTTTTTTCTTCTTACTTATCTGTCAAGGTAAATCGTTAAGAATAACTTTACTTTGATCAACATATAATTATTCATAATCTTTTTGACTTTATTTTGAAATTCATTCTATTTGTCAGAAGATGAATTCAGCTAAGCGAACAAAAAGAATTAAACATGAAAATGTTGCTATTTATTAAACAATATCAATGTTAAAATATTCGATCGAACAACAGCAACTACTGTATTCGAAATAAGACAGATTGATATGATCAAAACTTTAAAATGATTCCATCACTAACGGAACAACAGATAACAATCAAACTTTAATATATTAGTTTTCGTGAGAAACTCTTATTCTCTCTCTTTTTATTTTTATATTCCAAATGACAAAATATTTGTGCAAGTGAACTATTTGTGTCTTCATTATAGTAGAAATGTTTATCTGTGTGAACTGTAAAATAGAGAATTTATATGACTTTTTTTCTTTTCCATCTTCAATAAAACAGATGATTATATACACCTTGATAATATTTCACTAAAATAATCATTATTAATACTACTATACAAAAGAATATCCTTTAATGAATATGAACTTCGTAAAAGAATAAAAAGAATAGTTTTCAGAAATTTCGAACTATCTCAAAATTGACTAGGTAAGCTTTCATTGCAAAATTGAAAACATTTTCAGTGAAAATTTCTACAAGTTATTGATGTATCATTAAAAAAATGCTTNTTTTGACAATATTTTTCAAATGATCCTGTGAGTGCTCGACAGTAAAATTGAGCTCACTTTTCACCAACTCATCCAAATGCGCTAAAAATTTGGATTTAGAGGTTTTCGATGATGCTGAACAAGATGAGAACATCAAATCAAAAATCTAAATTTTGACGAGTGCTTCGATTTCTCGATGGCCTCATGGGTGCTCTCTTAATGAATATGAACCTCGTAAAAGAATAAAAAGAATAGTTTTCAGAAATTTCGAACTATCTCAAAATTGACTAGGTAAGCTTTCATTGCAAAATTGAAAACATTTTCAGTGAAAATTTCTACAAGTTATTGATGTATCATTAAAAAAATGCTTGTTGAATAGTTTCTCAAAGTTATGAGAAAAAGAAATACAACGTTTTCCCATTAAAAAATACTAATGTAATGAAAAAACAAAACCATTTAAACATTTTGCTAAATAAACAACTGAACCATTTTCATGGTCAATTACTTTTAAATGTTGCTCTTATTTTAGATATTTGTTTGATCTCTTAACAAAGGCAAACATACTTAGTAATTGTCTATAGATTGGTGCTTTTGTAAAACATAGAATGAGATCATTGATATATAAAATAAAATAAAAAAAAAAGATCGTACAAGCAACAAATTAAGACTGAAATTCATGTTTTTTTCTATAGTTCAGGAAAAAATTATGAGCGAAAAAGACAATTTATTCTTTGACTTCGACAATAAGTGGTGCTTCATACATCGAATGTCGAATACCAAATGAATATCCAGGTGCTTGTTGTTTATGGAGCCAAACTTTTTCAGGTGAATAATTACCAGGTCCTGGCTTTTGAGTTGTATCACCAGGCATTTCATTTCTGGCAATCATACTATAATGTGGTGGTTCTTGTTTATATGTACCCGGTTTCACAACATTATAGGCACCTAAAGAAAATATGAATAAAACTTTCGTACAGACTAAAAGCAATATTTACCTGGTCCTGGTGTTCGTTGTAAGTCTTCATCGAAACCACCACGTTTACTTCGTCCAGTTAATGTATAGATGGGTGCTTGTTTCTTTACACTTTGAACTGTTTTACCTAACATTCCTGGCAGACCATATGCGTTTGGTGCTAAAAGAATAAATGACGATATGGTTTAAAAAAAAAAGAAATAAGAAATACAAAAATACCAGGTGTATTATCAAGTCCGAAATATTTGTGACGAGTACCAAATGTATAAGCAGGTGGAGCTTGAAAGACAGTTTTCATAGGTCCTGTATCTTCGGGTTTATAAGCACCAGGTCCTAATTAAAATCGTATGAAATCAAAATCATGTCAATATTGTTATTGTTGTTTTCTTACCAGGATTAAGATCACCTTTAAGATCACCACGTCGAGCATAAAGTGAATAATGTGGTGTTCCATCTTTACCAGTTCGAGAAATTTTTGGATTTGGAAAATAACATGGGCCAGGTGATGCTTCATCTTTATATTTACCATGTTTAAGACCGAACGAATATGCTGGTTGTTTGGTATGAACTGAACGTGGATCATGAGCACTACTTCCGACTAAACCGGGCAATAGATAAACTGGACCCGGTGTTGAATTCATAGCCGAAATTGGCCCACGTGGTTTCGTTTCAGTGAAGACCATCTTTTTAAATTATTCTGAAAGAAAATCGAAAAGTACCACTGTGGTTAAATAAAAATGACAATATGTAATGCCTGATTAAAAATGCATACGAATGAAACTGTTTCTTGCTCTCTTTCACATCAATACACGTTCATAATGTAAACGTCTCTCTTTTGTTTCGTCCGTTGTCAACGAGTGGTGACAACAGATGCTGGGCACCTTGACGCCCGAAACAACAATCGAGTAACGGAAAAACTCTCTCTTTCTCGCACTCTTTCTTTTTTACGTCTGATATAGAAAAGAAAAGAGAAGAGAAAAACGGCAAATTTTGAATCAATCAGCAGAACATACGCATGCATCAGGAGTACTTTATTGTTTCTCTTTTTCTTTGCTCCTGCTGTCGATGCATTGGTGAATATTTTTTTTTTCAAAGATTGTATGAATCGATTGTTACCTATTGCCACTTCGCTATGTTTCGACGATGAAAAGAAAAAAAGAAATCATGTTATTGTTGTTGTTATGGTTGTCGATTCTTTAACATTTTTTCTTTTTTTTTGTCTGTCTATGTTACAATGTTTGCGTGGTATTCGATTTAAGTAAAATAAAGTGAAGTGGAATATGAGAACAAGTAACTGAACATGCATGCATGCATATTTTATTTTATTCTTTGACATTACTTAATCAATATAAAATACAATATTGCTACATAGACAAATAAATTTCTTTACAATTTTATTAATAAAAGACATGTTTAATAAAAATTCATGAAATACCTAGTTGGCGAATGTCAATAGAAAAACTTGCCTTTTAAATAGACAGAAAGGGAACACTGAAAATCATGACATCTCTTCTTATTGATATGTTATCGTTACAGACGCACAACTGTTATCAATTGAAATAATCTTCCTATAAGATCAGACACGTTATTATATAAATATTTGGATTGAAGTGAAGCATAATCTTGAGAAAGAGTTTTATTGACAAAAGAATCATGTCTTAAAAAGCTTATCGTTTCTTTCATCGACTGAAGCAGATTTTATTTTATTCTCAAAAATAATAACAATCAATAATTTTCAAATGATGTGATTCATAAAAAACCTTTTTTTTCTTTGAGCTATAAAAACATGATGTGGTTTTATTAGACTGAAAAAATCATAAATAAATGTGCAATAAAAAAATCATGATTTCACTCTTCATCTATAAAATTAAAAATAAAATTTATTTAGTTTAGCCATTTTTTGACTTTTCGTTTGCCAATGCTAATCGACGAATATATGAAATACAGATCGCTGCATTTTCTTGAAGTGCATCATCTTTTGAGCCAACCATTTCCATTAATAACTAAATAACGAATAAAAAAGAGATATTTACAATAATATGAATAAAATAAATAAAACATACTCGAACAACCCCAACGTCATGCATTGTAACACAATTCATTGGATTTTTTGATAGTTGATGTAATGCTTTAGCTGTTGATCGATGTACATTAGGATCAGATGATTTAAGATATTTAACAAGTGGAGCAACAGCTTGATTATCACCGAATGCTTGTCGATTATTTCCCCATTTACAACATTCAGCTATAGCTTCAGCCAAATAACGACGAAGTATATCTTCATGCTATTTTGAGAATAAAAATGTATAATTTTGAAAAAAAAAAAAATATTAAATCTAACTCGTGTTACTAAATTTGAAAGAAGTTTAACAACACCATGATCTGTTATAACGGCTAAATTTTCTTCATCTTTTGCTATTTCAGCTATAGCAGCACAAACACTTGCTAAAACTTCAACATCTTTTGATTTTAATAATGATACAATTAATTCAAGACCACCAACAAAACTTCGTACCATTTCACCTGAATCCTATAATGCATTGGTATTTTAGATTAAAAATTGTATGAACTTAATTTT